GCCAAAGAAATCTAGTATCACTCTGCAGTCCCTGGGGTCAATTTGTAAATAATATTGTTGGAAAAAAGATGAAAATATCCTTGTGGTGGAAATGTAATATCACTCCAACTTGCTATTTCCATTGTTTAGACTTCACAATTGTTATTTTTTTGAATGTTTGCTTGTGTCACTTGTCATTTCGCTCAAATTTGATAGTTTTATCACTCATAATTTTCTAACCTCTTGCTTGTAAAAATGTAACAAGTACTAGTTGTTTTTGAATGTTTGCTTGTTAAACAAGCACTTCACTTTTATTCCATTCAAACTTGCTGGTTTCATTGTTTAGGGGTTATTAGGTATTTTCAAAACTAATATTAATTTCACTTATGTTATATTAAAAAAAGAGAATTAATTTCGCTTTCATCCTAATTGCAAATTTCTTTGGTCCTTTTTTGCAAATAAAGTTGTACAAGGGTCCTTGGATGCGATTTTCTCTATATTTTCATAAATTTTTTACTCCTTGCTTTTGTGCGAGTGCTACTGTTTTTTGTTTGTTCTGCGTATTAGAAATGTTTTTCAAAACCATCATCTTAAAGTTTGTCCTCAATGTATTTTTGGTATCTCTTTGATTGGTACTCCCTCCGGTCCTATTTATAAGTCATTTCTACCAACCTCATCAATACCAATACAATAAAAGTATAAGGAATAAAAGTAAGTAAAATTTCAAACATGTCCCTATATAACAAATCTAAAAAGTAATATCCTGTTACTTTTTCTCTCCATGAAGGGTAATTTTGAAAATACCTCTCAAATATTACCTAAAAAGACGCACCGTGACTTATAAATGGGACCAAATATACCTTCTAAAATTAGACTTATAAATGGGACTGGAGGGAGTATTACTTATAAGTAGCATTCTACTTATAATCCATCGATGTGATAGGTCCCACTTGTTTTTCTTTGGAATAGCAAATGACCTGTTTAACCTCAGAGTCGTTAACTTATTTTAAAGGATGTTATCATTATGTGAGAGCCCTCTGGTTTAGTGCCTTTTCCATTCTTCCTTCATCGGTTTATCCAGTTAGATTATTACTATACCTTATTGAAGTTGCATGATGAGGGGTCAGATTATCAACTTGGAGGTATCATCGTTTTTCTTGCCATTCACAAGGGCATTGTTCATCATCTTTGTGAAGTACTCAGAATTTCACGATCCTTCTTCAACAGTATTTCATGCATGATCCTTCTTCGACGATATCTTCTTTCTGCCTTGTTAAGGTTTTTGTCAACTCTGAATTTTTGCACTGAATGCTTTAAATGGAGCCAAACTGTTTCAATAACCTCACTTGCATTCGTACTATTCTAGCTTTGAATCAAAGAATCTTCGTAGCATCCTTTTCAGTGTTTTTGCAGGGAGCTATTTCATGGATTATCTTCTACGACCTTTGGTGCAGGATATCCATTTGCTGGCTTCTTTTGTTCTGTCACTTTTAATGTATCGCAAGACTATAACCAATTTAATTTCTTCCTCCTTTTGCTTTAGACTTTTATGATACTTGTGTAATGTTTAGTTTGCTAATATTATGTCATTTGCTTTGATGGTTTAATGAAATATTAAGATTATTGGGGGGGGGGGAGTTTCTCCAGAAATTCGCAATAAAGTTTACTAGCTTACTTATTTACTAGCTCTCGTTCAAATTTATGAATATCGAACACCTGGATTCATTCTCGTTCTAGATTAATTTTTTTTCTACAACTTTTTTTTCTTTGCTGCGTGTTTTAATTAATTTCATAAAGTAATTAGATGTAATTTGTATAATTTTTGACATATGTAAAATGAAATTGGACTTAAAATAAATGTTGATTATAGAATAAATATCTTCGTTGGAAAATATGCGTGTGTAAATCAAAAGTATGGTAATTAATTTAATATAATATATATCAGGTCTCAAAATTTTGTTAAAAAATGAGTTGCAAGTAAATTTAAATAGTTATAAATATGAGAGTTTAACTAGACATTTAAATTCAGGTCAAAAAAACCAAACGTTAAAGCTTTTTGTTTTCTGTTTCTAAAAACTATTTGTTATTTTTAAAAAAGGAAAAAATTTAAAAATTTATTTAGATAAGTGTTTTTCATTTAGTTGTTTCCAAAATTTTTTATTTTTTTAAAAAATAGAAACAACTTTTAAGTTATTTTTATTTTATTTTTACTTTTAAAATACACTATATTTGATTATTAAAAATTATAGTTATCTTGACTAATTTTTATTATTAATTATCACTATTAATTATTTGTAACTATCACTATCAATTTATTTTTTAATTTTAAAATTATTTTTTAATTAACATAAGAAAATAAATTTTTATTTTATTTTATTATAAAAATCATATTAGAAAACAGTTTTTAAAAATAAGAAATAAGAACATAAATCAAAAGGCTCTAAGTCACATTTGGTTACTGTTCTTTTTTTAAAAAATGATTTTGCAATACAATTTTTAAAATTATTTTTTAAAACAAAATAAAAAACCTGGTTGCATTAATTTAAAAATATATTTAGAATTAAAAAATTGATCAAGAGTGTGATTAATGGTGGTAGCTTATGATAATTATTGGTTAAGGCAATTATAATTTTTAATAATTAAATGTAATATATTTTGAAAAAAAATAAAATGAAATAGCTTTAAGATGTTTTTATTTTTTGTTTTTAAAAAAAAATGAGAACAGTTTTAGAAACAACTAAATTCAAAATACTTATTCAAACAAGTTTTTTAATATTTTTTTAAAAAATAAAAAACTATTTTTAAAAATACAAACCAAACAAGCTTTTAGATTTCATACTTGCTCGTGAAATGTTCTTTTCAATTGTTATTTTAGGGTGACTTTTAAAATAATTTCCTTATCCTTAATATAAGTCAAAATTGTTAATTAACATTTTCTAGTTTTATTTCTAGAAAATTACTAAAAAAATTAATTTTTAGATATTTTTAATTTTAAAAAAATTAATAAGTTAAATTATTTTTATTTTGGTGACATGGTTAAAAGTGTTTGCAATAAGAATAGGAGGAAGTAATAAATATTTAAAACTGCAATCAAAAATAAATATTTAAAACTTATTTTTTAATAAAAATTTTTGAGACCTAAGTAAAAAGATATTAGGGAAACTCGCACCTAGATCCTCTAAATGAAAGTAAATTACTTTTAAGACCCAATATAATTTGATAATTTTCTAAAGATTCAAGGGCCCCATTTGCAATTAATGTTTAAGCTCAAAAGATTCAATTACCCCTAATTTAAAAAATGAACACGAACTATCACCTCTCTTCTTTTTCTTTCCATGATTGTTTCTATTTCTATGATGGAATCCGCCCCTAAATTTGTTGATTCTTCTACTTATATTATCCATGTCATCTCTACACTGATGAAGAGCCTGAGGTGCACTATCATTACCCCTCCTCTGTCTTTAGTAGGTTTGCAATTTTAGTCTTTTTCACCTTAGCAGACAATGTGGTTCAATTTTTTTTTTTTTTTGGTTGATTTCATTGTAGTAGTTAGGAGGATGCTAAGGAGGGCTTTGTTGCACAGTTTACGAAAGTTCTGTTAGTAGATCCTCCACTTAGCTAACTCTGGAGCAGGTTTCTCAAGTTAATAGCAAAATTTGTACGATATAAGGTTCATAAATAATAACATGCTATCATTGAATTAGTAAGAATATGTACATTAAATTTAGATAATTTTATGTTGGTATTGGTCTTCTATTGGAACAAGTACTAACATGAAATCTTACATCATATTTCTGTCTTATATATGCAAAATGTGAAAAGCTATATTCAAACTATGTAAAAGTTTCTTTTTTATATATAAACAAAAAATAATTGTCATCCTCAACTACACAAAAATATAAATTGAGATACTTTCATACATATCATAATTACAATTGTATTTGCACATCAAAAAAAAGTAGGAAGTTAGTTGGGGATACCATGCCATTTCTTGCACGAACCAACAATGAAAAAAATAATTTAAGAAAATTTTTACATGCAAAAACCTAATTTTTTTTACAAGTGAACATTCAATATAAATAAAAAAATATTCATATTTTCACAATACATAACTTAGTGTTTCGGATAAGGTATTTTCACAATAATAAATAGGTCATGAATTATACAATTCACATCTAAACATCTAATATAAACAAGTATACCACTATGATTTCATAACAAATAACTTACTCCAGAACATTTAAATTTCAAATTATATTATATTATATCAGCAACTAAGTTAAATTATATCAATAATCATATTACAATAAATCTTAAATCTTCTCCAATATGAACAAACATGCAACTTTGCAACCAAGGCTAAGGAATTTTCCTCTTCACCATGAACATAAATATTTTACACATTAAACAACTAAAGAGATATGATAATTTCTTAAAATTATTGAGCAAAACAATAAGCAATTTTTTTTTAAAAAAAAGGAGGCCAAACTTACTTTAAATTTGTGAAACTTCAAAGTTAGCGTAGTGGAAGATTCACTAGCAGTGCTCTTGTGAACTATACAACATGGTCTCCTTAACATCCTCCATACTATTATGGTGAAATTAATAAAAAAACAAAAGAAGAAGAACCACATGATCAATTATGGCATCCCCAGTTTTTCTCGAGAAATAAATAGGAGTAGAAAAGGATCAAAATCACGAATTTGCTATGGACAGAGAAGAGGATTATGATTCTCAGGCTCCTTATCAATGTAGACGATGTGGACAACATGAGTAGAAAAATCAGCAAATTTAGGGGCAGATTCGACCATAGCAGTAGAAACGATTAGGAAAAGAAAAAGAAAAAGAGAGGTGACCGTGGGCGTCCCATTTTTAGATTAGGGGTAATCAAGTCTTTTAATTTTAAAGATTAATTGCAGATGGGCCCTCGGGCATTCAGAATATTTCGAATTATACCTTAAAAATAATTAACTTTCAACTAGGATGCAATTCTCCCTAACTATTATCGAACAGGTCTTTGATCTAAATATTATTAAAAAAATCTTTTGTCCCGCATGAGCCGGACGAGGCGGCTGGAGGCGCAAATCGTTCTAATAACAGCCAACCGTTTGAACAATCAAAGACCAAATCCAATAGCGATCGGCGCCATGGGATGCACCAGCTTTGCTACGAATCTCATCCCTCATTTGGAGCTCCACAGTTGCTGTTTCAGGCCACTTGAGCCGATCCGGACCCCCTTGATTGCTCCGCGTCTCTGCAACTCATCGAGGAGTCCGAGGTTGAGGTTCGGTATCTTGCGGAGGAGAACGAGGTTTGGCAGGGTTGTCCGTTTTGCTGTCGATGATGAGTTGAGAGAGAATAGGCAGGAGTTGAGTGGAAGTGGAAGTGGGGTTGGGTCAGCTATTGAAGATAGGCCGGGTAAGACTTAAGAGCGAGATTGAATTTTGACATTCAATTATCTTCTTCTGTTGTAGATTTTTAAGAATTTAGGCTACGTCATTCGAATAGATTGGGAACTTTTCTAAATTAGCTGCTTGTTTAGTTTGGGTGCGTTTCCAAATGCAGAAAAACTCATAGGATTGTGGTTGAAGTATTATCTTTCTCAGTTGTCTGATGTTCTCCGAACTAAACAGCATGTTGACACAAGTATAAAACACAGCACTGTATAGACACTACAACACAATAAATTATAGTGTATAACTGTAATTAGACACATTGATTATTGTATTGCGTTTACTTGTCGGATTTGCATCTAAGATAATACGGCTTTGTTATAAAACTATTGGTGGTCAGGTTCTAAAGTATGCCTGAACACGCTGAATAAGTGTATCATTATTTAGTAGGTTTCTCGGGAGAGGGTTGTGCAGTTTTAGTTTTCTTTCTTTCTTTTAAGTAACAAATGGCAACCTGCTGTGCCAGTACATCAATCCAAACAAATTTAGTCGAATTTAAAATAGACGCCAAAACTACTCTTGTTATATATATATATATATATATAATCAACAATGTTAATTACTCCCTCCGTTTCTTTTTGTAAGAGAAAAAAACTGTATCACACAGTTTAAGAAAATCAGTTAACCATATTAATTATGTCTGAAAATAAAAAAATTGGATTGCAATACCTTTCATTAGCTGTGTTAATCAAGCCTTCATTAGTTGTTTCTTATGACTATGAATGATAAAATTATGAGGGGTAATTTAGGAAGTTTGCAATAAATGTCTATTGAAAAATGTGATTTTGTGTATATAAAACAAAAAGCTGAAAGTGATAGTTTCTCTTATACATAAAAATGGAAGGAGTATTAATTTGACTTGAGTATTTTTAATTTCTTCGGGGTGCTATGAACCAAGACATGGCAGAAAGACTACGCATGCCCACTTAGAGTGATTGTTGATTGGCAAGGTTAGTTAGTAAAATAGCTCTGAGCGTGAAGTTATGATGTTGGTCGAGTGGCCTGTCACAAGGTTTAAGTTCTGCAATATTCCTTTAGTTTTGGATTTAAGGATTCCTGCAATTTATGCCAGGTTTATGGTTTTTCAAACGCCGAGTGCTTTTGACATGTAAAGCTTCGAAGTTACCTAAGCACACATTTCTATTGTAGCAGCTTGAAGTGCATGCTGGATCATTTAAATGGACTTCTTTTGGCATATCTCTGTGAATTTTATTCTAGTATATATTCGTCAAGGGCTTGCTCTCTACTGACCAGTTTTGATTTTCTTTACTTCCAATATCTGTTCGATGGTTTACTACCTGTCTGTTGATGAGTGTCCATCTTTTCTTCAATCTAACAGCCCCCTTTATCTCAAATAACATTTTTCGTTTTTCTTGCTTCCTTTTCATCTTGCATAGAGCCACAGACCCATTGCATTCATTCATTGAATTACTTATTTAGTTTAGAACTGGTATGCTATTTCTACAAGACCTCAGAAACCATGTGGCAGACATAACCAGACAAAAAAAAAGTGCAGTAATATAAAATTTCTCTTTTTATCATTAAATTGTTCCCTTATTACACAACTGCTTAATGCACGTTAACATTTTACTCATCCAACTCCCAACTCCACTTCATTTTTTGCTCTTCATTTTGGCCAAATAGTCTGTTTGGATATTCTTTGCTCTTCATTTTGACCAAGACTCTTCTCTCTCCTGCACATGCTATTTGTTCTGGTTCTTATGTCGTTTGTATCCTCTTAATCTGTGAGCCTCTAATATCTAGGGCTTTTCTCTGTATTTCCAACCTATACGAACCTTGGTTCATCAACTAGCCATAATCTTCTTCAGGAAAGAGTGATGGGATATGAAAGTACGTGATCTTTAAACTGTATGTGTGACATATCCTTAATGTCGATCTTATTTAATCTAAATAAGCTTGGATTGATTCTCGTAAAAGCATGTAAAGTGAACCATGGGGTTCTTCTAATGATGCCAACTTATTGTACAATTCGTTTCAACTCCAGTCTGAGCATTGTGCAGGTCAGAGCTGCAAGTGTAGTAAATAAAGTCAAGAGCCTGATTTTACTAAAGGGGAAGAAAAATCTTAGGTCCCTGACTTCAATTTTTTGTTACACAACACAGAACTGGTTGATAATACAAAAGAAGGAGCTCTTGAAAATACTAGACAAGATGTTGAAGGAAGTGCACTATATGATTTTCTTTATCCTAGTAAAGAACTTCTTCCTGATGATAAAGAAATGAGCATATTTGATCATCTTGAAGAGCTGCGGCAGAGAATCTTTGTATCTGTTTTAGCAGTTGGGGCAGCCATTTTAGGATGCTTTGCATTTTCAAAAGAACTGATTATCATTCTTGAAGATCCTGTAAAATCACAAGGTGTGAGATTTCTTCAGCTAGCTCCTGGGGAGTTTTTCTTCACTACTTTAAAGGTATAATTGTTAATAATTCATCTATCTGTCTGTTCTTGCGCAATCTGCCATGTCATGTTTTATCAGGACTGTATGCAGTCTTTGTGTTTTGGCGTGACTTTTATCTGATTCTCTTTTTAAGTTTACGGCTTAAGAATTAAATATCTCCTTTTCAAACCAACTATTTTGCCACTATGTAATTTAACTTGTAATACAGGTCGAAGAAAACCAATAGCTGAATAAGTAGAAAAGGGGCAAGAACAGGAGGAAAAGTTTCAGTAGTTGAAACAAAGGATCCAACTCCCTTATGATTTTCTATGAATGTTGAAGATAACTTCCAGTCATTTCTGTCATGATGAATCACAAATGAAAAGTCTGTTATGACCTAGCTTCCAGGATTTAAAATGTTGTTTGACCACCAAAAAAGGATTTAGAGATGCTGATTATCGTGCATTACTGTCCATGAGTCTCTGTATTCTGCATGCTTATTTTCAAATTCCATCAAATCGTGATGCTGTGGAATCAATATTTTTTTCTTGGTACTGCAGGTCTCTGGATACTGTGGCCTCCTCTTGGGAAGTCCTGTCATTCTCTATGAAATCATAGCCTTTGTGCTTCCAGGTCTAACAAAATCTGAGAGAAGGTTTCTGGGACCAATTGTTCTGGGCTCGTCAGTTCTTTTCTATGCTGGAATAATCTTCTCCTACCTGGTTCTGACACCTGCAGCATTAAATTTCTTTGTTAATTATGCTGAAGGGGCTGTTGAATCATTGTGGTCGATTGATCAATACTTCGAGTTTGTACTCGTGCTAATGTTCAGTACCGGCTTGTCTTTCCAGGTAGACTTTTTTTTTTTTTTTCCTGAAACCTATACTAATGATCGGATCGTACAGTTTCTCTAAACCTCAACATACCAGGAGTCCATGACCTTATGGCATCTGGCCCCCTTCAATGCCAACACAATGGGGGAAAGATAAAATTGTGAATTCATATTGTGTATAATGAATACAGAAAAATAGAAATACTTGCAACCGACCAACTTTTGGTCATCTGTATAATTTCCCCTCAACTTCGAAAACCAGCAGGTACTCCCATAAACTTCCATAATATTTTGGAGATTTGGGGCATTTTATTCCATGTGACTCCTATTTGCCTTCAAAAAATGGGGGCATGCCATATAGCAAGAGAGGGTTTAAAATGGCATCGCCATAATTGTAAATGGACTTAGGCTTCCCATGCCCAACTGTATGAGTTTAGGGGACTAAATTTCAATTCTTAACAAAGAATTGGCTGTTCATAAGCATCCCTTTTCATTTTTCCAATTATTTGTATTTAGTGCTTGATGGATTCTGAGATGTTCTAGGTAGATCCTGTCTACAAAACTAAAGATATTTTGCAACTTTGTCAGATTATTTTCATATAGTACAGGTACAAGTTCTTATTTGCATCCGACCTATGTAAACATGTTTTAAACGATAGGCTTGGCCTATCCATCTGTGATCAACGAAATCTGAGTAAAAGTTCTTTTAATACAATCCACAATCAATATGCTCACACATCTATTAATAATTGGTTTAATCTATGATTTTGTTATTTGATCAAGTCTATCTTAAAATTTCTAATATTGAAGCAATATTGCAGGTTCCCGTTATACAATTCCTATTGGGACAAGTTGGGCTTGTGTCTGGAGATCAGATGCTGTCAATTTGGAGGTATGTTGTGGTTGGTGCAGTAGTGGCGGCTGCTGTGCTTACTCCTTCCACTGATCCCCTCACTCAAGTTCTTCTAGCCGCTCCTCTGTTAGGTCTCTACATTGGTGGGGCATGGATGGTCAAGCTCACTGGAAGGTGACTCTAGTGCCCCACATCTCCATATGAGCTCCAATTCTTTCAGACTGAATGTATATTCTTCACCATGTAATCTACTTCTGGTTAAGTAGTACCAGAGATTTAGGGCCATCTCTGCCTGTATTGTAAATTTTGAAATATAATTTTGTACCTTATGTTCTCCAAGTTTTGTCAAAACTCAAAAGCTGTTCCTCCCGTGGAACATGCAAGGGAAAATTGGGCAAAAGGACCGTGAGTCCAGATAATTGGGCAGAAGTCCTTAGGTCTCATTTAAGCATTGCAATGGTGTCCCTATTCCCTCAGTGTGAATATCTCTATGAACGAAAAGGCCGAAATACACCTTAAGTGATCTATAATGGAAAAACGAAACAAGAACGGAGAGGAAAAGACAAATGCCCTCAGCAGTAGATAATTATCAGGAAATTATTAGTTTTTTTTTATTCTGAAAATGGCTTAGGTGACGTGAATTTTCCAAATAGAATTTTTGATGTTCTTGAAAATCTGCAAGCGTCTATCATCTTCTTTGAGAGTTTTTAACACTTTTCTATAGTCTGCAATCGTCTGTCTTCAAAATTCTTCCACGAGTTGCACGTATTTGCAACTTTCTTCCATGGGTTTGTAAGTAACTGCAAAAGTCTTCTATTCCTGGTCCTCTTCGAGAGTCTTCAGCACTCGTCAATAATCTACAATAGTCTCCCATGGTCTTAAAAAATCTTCCACAATTTACATGTGTCTGTAACTTTCTTTCACGAACATGCAAGTCTACAGAAGTCTTTCATTCCTAGCCCTCCTCGAGAATCAACACTCTTCAATAATCTACAAAAATCTCTTCAAGACTCTTCAACATTCTTCAATAGTCTGTAATGTCGTCAAAATAGTTTCCTAAAAGCCTGTCAACTTATTCTAAAAATTAAACAAGTAAATTTTTCCTCAAAAACCAAAATCAAGTGCACTGGGCTCACATATTAATTGTTTTTTCCCCTCAAAACTTGTTATCCTATTTTAAAATTTAACCAAGCATATAATTTTTTCATAATAAAATAATATATTTTTCTTAAATAGCATCAACTATTTATTATTTCATATTCTGAAAATTAACAAAGCATGTACATTTTTAGAATAAAACGGTACTTTTTTTTAATAAAAAATCAAAGTCAGCATCATCCTACCCTTTTAGGTTCATTGTTTTTTTCCTGAAATCCTTGATTCATACTCTGAAAATGCACTTAGTCCAGAACTTTATTCCGAATGAATGAAAATATTAACATGAAAGCACAGAAATATTCAACAACTCAATTACTTTGAAACATAGCACTCACCTTGAAATAACTTGAGCAACTCATAGCTGTAATAACAAGTTCAATTTAACAGTATCTCCTAAAATAACTTACCAAATTATGTCCACAATGAATTATTACAAAAGAAAAAAAAAAGGTGAGATTTACAGTTTCTTGACAACTTCAGGAGGGTTGTCTCTCACCTTCCCTTCAGAGGCCTCTCAATGTCTGATTGTATTTGAATACATCAAAATCCTGAACAGGTCACCCGACATAACTAATGCAGTACCCCGACCACTACACGCAATCCATAGCTTACATGTCACAGGGCTAGGAATTAAAAAGGGTACAATAATATGATAACAAAATTATTAAATGTTATTCTAAGAAAGAAATTATTTTCCCGAAACATCTGTATCGCGAATTATCTTCTAATATGATAACAAAATTATTAAATGTTATTCTAAGAACGAAATTGTTTTCCCAAAACATCTGTATTGCGAATTATCTTCTTTGAAGGAAGAACAATTGCAGCTACCGGTCGATCTTCATACCCACCACCTTCATCAATGATAAGCCTCAAGCCATTTACATGGAGTTTTGCATGATGACCACTAACCAGAACGGTGGGACTAGCACTTAGTTCCTACGAGAAAATAGAAGATAATCGGAATGAATATAAGGTAACTAAAATAACAAGTTCACAAAAACAAAAAAAGAATGACTTCTAACAAAAATATTTGCGAAACAGACAACATCTATTTATGTAGTATGAAGAAAAAATATTTCAACCAAAGAAGCAACAAGCTTATCACCTCTGGTATATTCCATACACTGTCCCTCCCGCTGAGAGGCGCAACCTTAGGCACCCGAGTATCCGAGATTTCAAAAGTTTTAATTGCTCGTTCACATCTTTCCCTTTCTCCAGACCAGCATGAACAGCAATCAACTTGCAGCTTTTGATTCCATCATCGGTCTCCACACAAACTTCGTCCTAGTAAAATTGGACATCATGATCCACAGAGCTTCAGTAGTTGATCTTTAATCTACATCAATTTGCAATCTCAATAAGGAGCACACTGTTCTAAGAAGCAGGTGAATAAACTTGCAACCTATGTCAAATGATGAGGAATTATGTCTTGTGATGAGATACAAAAGCAGGGAAAGAAGTCCCACCTCTTCATGGACCCAGACTAAATTAGCAAGAAACTTTTTATGCTCATCAGGAACTGCTTTAATCAAATCTGCACGCAGTGAAAGTCCTTCAATCTAAGGAATAGAACAAAAGAATTTACAGTTTCAAGTAAAGGACCAGTTACACCCCAAAACTTTTACGGTATTATCAGTAACAACCCGAGCAGAGCTGAATAAAAGTAACTAGTCTTCTGCATTACACGAGTCGCATTATATGTGCACAATGTGGCTTCTTTTATCCCAGACACTTTGTGTGTGTATGTGTGAGGATATATTTCATCGATTATATTGTGTCAGTTATAGCGCCTCGAATCAATGCGAAGTTATGCTAACACAGTTGACATCACTGATTAAAAGGATAAAAAACTTTTGTAATGCCAATGCCACCAAAATGCTCATTGACACAAATCAGTTCAAAACAACCAAACAACCTTGTTGATAATGCAATATTGAAATAGTATCTAAAGACAATCATAAACCAACAAAAAATTCAAACCCATGAAAGGGGAGAAAACAAGGGAACACAAGAAGCATACCAGCAGAACCATGAGGAACCCCATAAGACTCAAAAGTCGGTCCAGCATCATAAATGGAACCCATATAATCAATGCCCTTGGCTGTATTGTACTTGACCTTAATTGAACCAGCCCAACGCCTCCCCTGAAGATGCATATTGTCATAACCATCACCCTTATACCATCCTTCTCTATCCTCACTGGACTCGTACTCTTTCCAGGAATCGGAAAACTTGGATCCATCAGGCGGCGGAGGCAGAAGACCAAGAAAAGCAGCGAAGGCAAAATCATGGTTCCCGCAGAGAAAGACTTGTTTCTGATTGGGGTATTTAGAGGGCAATTCAATCAGGAAATCAATAACTTCACGAGGGGACCGCGGTCGCAATAATCCCCCAAGAAGATAATCGTGGCAGATTGAAATAACGAAGGGTCGATTTCCCTTTCGAGGTTAGACCACAAGTTTTGGAGCTTGGTGATGTAGCCATGGGTGTCACCTATGCAGCACACAACCCTGGCCATGGCTTTCAGTTGCGGCGGTCAATCACTTCCGCTTCGGCTTCCAACTTCAAGAATCAATCTAGGGTTCAGAAAGGATGAGATCGACGGTGAATAGGAGCACGGCGAGCAACAATGAAGAGGATTAGGAAGAGCGAAAAAGCAGTGGAGATAAATAGATGATAGATTGATGTCGGGAGAGGGGAGGAGGACGACGGCGAGGCGTTGAAGGAGTGGGGTTGCCACGGAGGACAAGAGAATCATATTAAATTAATTTTTGAACTCTAAAATCTTATAATTTTAATTTTGAAAATAATTTTTTATTATAAAAAATGAGATGCGTTATTACAAAAAAAATAACGAGACGTCTTAAATTAATGTACCAATTATTTAACTAATTTTGGCCAAAAAAATTAGTTAACTAATTCACACACACATATATAAAATAAAATAATTATGTTAGTTATTTGTAAAATACAGGTTGATTTCTTCAAAATATCCTCTTTTAATAATTTACATGGAAATTTGGCCAAAAAAATTGTAATTTAAATTAAAAACTACTCTGTTAGTTGTATACGTTAATATATGAGGATTAGGTTGTGGTTTTCTCTAAATTTAGTTCCTTCCCTTTAGTTGGTTGATGATTGCGTTGCTCTTTATGATCTTAAATGAGCTTGTTCAAGTTCAACTAATATGAAGTTCATGTTGTATCTTTGTCAAGCACTAAGCAATTGTTGCTTTCAATCAATCTCAAAAAATTTAAACCTGGCTATCGTCAGGATTGTTCGAGTTATAGTTATAGAGATGTGATCTCTCTTCGGACTGGACTGCCAAATCTCCATCCCCTGTGATCCTTCTCTTGGATTAGGTCATGAAACATCCACGATGTTGCTCTTGCTTCTCCTTCTCCTCCCCTTTTTTTTTTTTGGGATCTATTGGCGATTTCTTTTTATTTTGATTTTCTTAACTTGAGTTTGTTCAAATTTGTTTGAAGTTTCTTTTACCAATAATTTTTCCTTTGACCAAAAATTTGGCACTGAGTATTATGTTTTTTATAAGAAAAATATAATTGTTGGTCCTTATATTTTAGCTTGTTTTGGTATTAATTTCTACATATTTTTTTATTGCTTTAAGTTTTTGAAATTTATCTATTTACAACATTTATCCTTATATTTTTAAATATGACTATAAAGATTTAACGGTGACTAACTTGTACATAAAATATGTTATTTATTGTATTAACTTATTAAATTTATGATTAGTTATATAAAAAAATTAGAAGTTAAAAAAAAAAGTAAGATATTAAATCAAAACCGTCAAACACGCAATGGAAGACATTAAAACACAAACAAAACATAAGCAAAGAACACATAATTAGTGGCCATTTTGCTTACGCAATGTCCAACTTATCATAATTTTAGTAATTCAACAATATAATTAATAGAATTATGTACACATTAGCAAGTTTAATTCCATAAGCAATAATAATGACTAACACTACAAATAAATAAAATTTTAGGGACTTGGAGCAATGAAAAGAAAATATAAGGACAGATATCAAAACACATTAAAAATATAGAAACCAACAATCATATTTTCCTGTTTTTATATAGTTAATAATACCCATTATTAAGTTACTTTATTTTATTTTTCTTTCCGTTTTATTTCATTTTGCATCCTATATGATGTTAGACTACTGGTACTGATGGTTTAAAGACCAACGAATTAAACGGATAAACTTATCAACTGCCATAGCCCTAAATCTTAAATGGATGAATTTATCATTAACAAAATACGACTTGATCAATTTGTCAACAGCGCAAATTTTCGAACAATTGACTTGATAACTCAATCCCTATCAAATCAACATCAAATTCAGTTTCCAGAGAAATTCTTGCGCAGAAAGGTATGGATTCAACCTATATTTGTAGAATTCACATGTTGAATTGTGAAACCTAATTTTTGCCATTACACGCCAACCCAAAATCAAGAGCAACTAGTAAAACATTAAAAAAGAAAATCAATTTTGCAAATCATGCCAATTCAAAATCAAAAGCAAAACATCCACACGTCATTTCCAAACCTACAAGAAATGCTTCTTAATTGCTTAATGTCATGTTTTCCACTTTGGCTTCCAGATCAGCAGTACCAGAACTACTTAATTCAGATGCAAGGTGTCTCATTGAACTCCTTAAAACATTGCATGCCTCAAGGAATGTGGCTGATGCTCCCCTGAGTCCTCCTAACACTCCTTGCATGTCATCAATAATGCTCTGGATTTTCACCATAGCTGCTTCTATGGCGGGGACCTCTTGAGGGGGATAGAGGCAGGCTCCAATTTCATCAATCTGTAAACCAAGTTCCTGACACAGCTTCAACAGTTTCTCCAGTGAATCCACAAAATCACCACTGTCACCCGGCTTTTCCAGCTTAAGCATGCCCGAGATGCAGCGAATAAGCTCCTTTACGACTGAGAGTGCATCTGATACAACCACAGTTGCTGCTTGGGCGATTTTCATCTCTTCAGGTGAAAGGTCATTCCCCAGTTCACCATCATTATCAGATACTTCGTCAGATGAATCCGGCCTCAATTCATTCAGTTCACGAAGAACATCCTTCATTGAAACAGCAATCTGCGTCACTCCTCGCCCAATTGCTGTAATATTAGTGGATGGAGTCTTTTTAAGAGCAGAACATGCTTCCCATACCACGCCAACTAATTGAGAGATTGATAGTTGCTGATCTTTCCCTTGAGATCCTGATAGTGTTCAATTATAGGGATGAGGTTGCTATTGATAAAAAAGAAGCCATAAGATATGCTAGTAAAAACAACCCAGAGTATATGCATGTAGACATGACAAAATATAATCAAGATGATGAATAGTGGAGCGTATGGTGCCAGGCACAGACACGCAACAGAACAGAGTAGGATTGTGAGAGCATGATGAGCAAATCCCAAACCCAACAAAGTATTAATCAATACCTCTTCTACAAAACCTTTAAGAAGACCTAAAATCACTTTGAGATTTCGTTATTCCTTTTTGATCTTAAGAAATGGGTAAGCATTCGGCAGGTTCAATGCCAAACCATAGAACATTTGATTAGAATAACGTTTGTTCTCACAGAGACCAGCAGCATGAAACTCACAAAGGAACTGTCAGCAATTAGTATACCATAAAGATTAGGGGAAATAGTCCTAGCAAGTGAGCAGGGTAAGACAGATTAATAAAAGGGTTTCTCTGCAAGCAGTGCTCAATCAAGTGGACCAAGACCTCAAACTTGTGAAATAGGAGACTATTGATTGGCTAGTAGTATCTCAAAGGGAGCTTTAATGGCGATGCTAACGGCTGACAACTGAGTAATACTTTGAGGAGAGGTCTTATGAGTGCATAGAGGCAAACTAAAATCTCTATTGAACATTATATTGTCAATACATTAGAGAGACTGTTATGACGTATTTATGGTGAATAGAAAGCAGGCGTTTAATGCATGGATGGAAAATAGGCTGACGGAGCATGGCATGGCTTTAAATGAAAAACACAGCAAAAGTGCAGGGTCTGCAACCAAGGCAATCTTGGTAAATAGCTGCTCATGCTGACCCCTGACAAGAAGAACAAGGGAGATCTCAAGCTATACCTTTAAACAGCTTTAAACCAGAAAAAGCATTTATAGTTATACTTCACAATAATTGTCCTCTTGCCTGGTTAAAGATCATTTCTCAAATCAATGCTCCAAGCCCAAGGGGTTTTACAGCTCCCCAGACCATATCCTTTCAACAGATCCGTTTAGACAATAGTTCCTCAAAGTTTTCTGCTTTATTAGATTTCCCAATAAAAACATGGAATGTTTCTAAAATTATTTTTAAAAACCAATCATGTGAATGTCAGTTGCAAAACAAACATCTTGTCATGTTTTTTTTTTGGACAAATTGCTAGCAAACACAGAGACTATACCTAAGTTTCCCTCTTAAAAGAGTTAACAACCACAAATATGATGTAATTCTGATATTACAAGACTCCACACCCATACACAATTATTTGTTCAAGGTACTTAAAGCTTTGGATGATTGTTGTTATATTTTTCATTGGAAGGAACTCAATAAAGAAGGAATTGAAAAAAAAGAAAACCAAGATTCAAGCATGAAAACACATCTGCACGCACATGTCCACCCAAACCCACCAGCCCCAGCCCCCTGCCTGCCTGGGTTAGGGTATTACTAGTACACAGCACACTTGTGATATCAAATATTTGTCATAAGCTACAGTAGCAATGCTAAAGTTACTGGTTAACAGGTCATTAATTATTATTACGTAACCAGACGAAATGAATATTACTCAGGACAATAGAGTTTATAGCTCAAGGCTGAGAACTTCAGACAGATCAGTGGTAAAGAAAGTCGAACAAACTATCCATCAACCAGTATATTGTTAAGAAATGCCCTACAGAGAGAGAGGGAGGGAGGGGGAGGGAGGGAGGAGAGGTTACCATATAAAGACACAACTTCCTTTGTCAGCCTAAAGCTGGAATCAACAACTTGCTTCACAGAAGCATGAATACAGGAAGACAGTGTAGGCCCTGCACCTACTGTGCTTCCATGGGAAAGCAAGAGGAAACCTTGCAACGTGTTGAAGTATGATGTCATAGTTTCCTCTATTGCTTTTAACTCTGGCTTCTGTCCACTCAAAAGCATTCCAACTACAAAGCAGATAGAAGACGTGTTTAATTACATAAACTCAAGCCTGCACATATCTATGAACTACAGAGCAGAGTAAAATTTGGGTTAAGAGTATTACAGCACACTTGTGAATGCAAGATACAATGAATCTCAAACTTCAATATTGAAGTCACAAAAAGAGCACAATACACAATAGAAGTAATTCTTCAATTCATTTTCTAAATAGAAGCATCCACCTAATTGCAGTTGTTAGATGTAAACATGATAGACGTGCATTCATAACTATGTGAAGGTACAAATGCATACACATGAAGATGCATTTGACAGATCTCTGCCAATATTAAGTGAACATAGTGGAATTCACAAGCATAAGACAGAGAGACAGAAAAATGGATAGGTGATGCAAATATCTAACTCCTACATGCGTGCGCGCGCTCGCGCTCGCGCACACACACAAGCCCAAAGCACACACAAATAAACATTCACACTAACAGAAATAAATAAACATGCACACAGATATGCATAGATTTCATATACTATTGAAATCATAACCCACAGGACTCTTGAAATTACCATTTACAATGTAGAACCTACTCATGTAGATTTTGTTTTTTAATATATTCCCTCAGATGTCCCAATGCAGTAAGCAACACTTTATAATCTAGTTGCCAAATCTTACAAGCTCAAAGTGGAATATCTCAGTAACAAAGCATGCCATTTTCCATAGTTTTAAGAAGATTTTTTTCCTTAAAAAAAAGGATATCTGTAACCTTTTGAATTTAATCCACCCTGTCACTCTGTAAGATCATATTCTCTAGCATTTTAGTTGATGGTTTTAATTATTAAAAGTACCAATATACGGAGTACGCAGGTTGAATAAGCGTTCAAAATTTACCTTCCCTCCCTTCTTCCCAGTTTGCAAAGCTCTGTAAAGTAATAACCTACGGCATTAGATTTTATCTAATTCATCAGAATTTTTTATTCATGGCCCCGACAAGCTCTCTAATTTAATGCCAACTCAATGCTTCAAAGTGGTAACAGAAAACTACACAACCAAACTTACATAAAGGAAGAAATCAAGCAGTCATAACAATATAACAGAATTATGAGATTATATGCAAGATAATCTTTCCAGAACCGAAATAAGAGACGCTTTTTATTGAAAGTCATACATCTCTTTTACCAACACCCCTTGGTCAATCCAGTGATGAACTCTTGACACTAGAATGCGGAATGAAAGAAGAGAGAAACACTTCTGAATACGCACAGAATGACCAAAAAAGAAACTTTTATAGTACCCGGTCTAAAAAAAAAAATTCCCAATTCATGAGAGAGCAAAAGATTAATCAAGCAAAAAAGAAGAGACTTTATAACCTATGGTAGCCTGTTTTGAGACCTGGTCGCCCATCTTTATTATCTCCTCCCAGCTCACTTTGTCCAAAGAAGAAGGAGCCGTTTGATCCAAAACCTACATAAGCAAGCTCAAGTCCCAAGACACTTCATGCTAGTTCAGAGACAAGCACAAATAGATAGCGTTGAATTGAATAGAATAATTAGAAGTCGTAGTACCTGAAGGGTCTCATGGATAGTGCAGAGGTGGGAACCGAGGATTTGATTCAAGTGCTTCTTCTCTCCTTTCCGGGACATGTTATTTTGCCCTGTACAGTTCCGGGCATTCGGTACCCGCCTCCGCTAACGGATTTGCTGTATAAAAATCGATGGGATTTAGAATGCGTTTGGAAGTTTATAATTGAATGAAAAGTAACAGTTATTAGTGAAACGAAACGAAATGGCATGGGGTGAAGTGAAATAAAATAAAATATTTTATTTTTTGAAAGTTTTATAATAAAAAAATAATTTTACATTATCATTATTTAAAAGTTATTATAAAATGAATGGAATAGGAAGATTTAAAAATTTTTTCTTTTAATATTACCCATATGATTAAATTTAAAAAAAATAATGTCATTAAATTATTATAATATTTATCCAATAAAAAATAATAATAATTAAAATTAATGGTTAAACAATATATTTAATAATTAAGAATAAAAAGAGAAAGCAAGTGACAGAGTTATTTAAGAAAAAACATTTTTATTGTATAAGAGAAAACACAACAAAGTTGTAATGTTAAAAGGCGTGATAAAGTGATAAAGAGATATGGCAAAGACAAGAAAGATATGATGAGAGGTAAGATTATGCACTATGCTTGAATGCTTGATCAACTTGACCTCGTCCGAAGCATTTGGGAATATAGGATCAAGTATCGGCAAGGGTAAAACCTTGCTTTACCCAAATATAAACAAGTGTTTTTATTTTTTAAAATTTTTTATGAATAATATTTATTTTATGAAATTATTTTTTACTAAAAATGATCATGAATTATATTATTTTTATGATTTTTTTATCATTATAATTTTTTAAATCTCTTTTGAAATGCAAAATTTATTTTTAGCTTATTATTATGTAAAAATAATTGATAATTTTTGTTCATTTCAAATTTTAAAAAATTACTTTTCATTCTAATATTAATTTTATGAAAAATATATTTTAAATAATAATGATGATAATAATATTTTTTTCAAGGAAAACTTTTTATGTATATTTTTTTAAAAAATACTTGTAAAAATGTTTTTGAGCCAATCAGGCTAGTCTGGCACCCAAATACATATCGGGCTCTGCATCGAGCTAAGGTAATGACTGGTTCGACCCTGCCCATGTATAACCCTAACAAGAGGCTATAGAGATGGCTGGAGAATGAAAATAACAAATGATATTTTTTTATTAACATAAAAAGTTAGGATTAATTTTATAAATGAAATAATTATACTGTATCATTTCATCTTTAACCCTCAATTTGGGAGGACAAAAAATAGTAAATTATGGATGGCAAAGGAGGGCTTCAGAGGCCCTTTCTTGCCATCTCATATTTCTTTAAAAAAAACTCACAAATAATAATTTATATCTTTTAATCATTTCACTTTATTTTATTTTATTTTATTTTTTTAAAAAAAATTCTCCCAAACGTAGTATTAGTGACTGCTTTCTTTTTTGGCCAACATTGAGTGACAGCTTTCAGTGCTCCAAAGGAGAAGAAAAATAAGGCGCACACAACGCACGGCAATGGGAACACTGGAGCAAAATAAAATAAAGAAAGAGAATGAATTAGGAACTGCCTTATATACTCCCTCCATTTAAAATATAAATTATTTTTATTCAAATTTTATTTTCAATAAAATCATTATTTATCTTCAAATTAATCATATCTTTTAATATTTATTTTTATTTAATAGAGTATTTAATCTTAAAATAAATATAAAATAATTTATTTAATAGAGACACTTTGAAAAGCAATGAATGCACTTGAAAGATTAAAAATACTTTATATTTTTAAATGAAGGGAGTACTTAATATAAATCTACCAAATTAAAATAAAATTAATAGATCTTTATCTATTAATATCTATTAGTAATATAAATAAAAAATTATTATAAAATAAATAATCTTAAAAAACCTACATCTATTAATTTAATTGAAAATAAGTACTTAGATATAAGTATATATATTTTTCCAAATAAAACAGTTATATTTAAAAAAAGTAAATAGTATTATTATTTTAAAATCCAACGGCCTTACCCCTCTGTTTTTTTAAAACTAACCTGCCTCATAAATATTATCCCTGGGGAGATAAAAAGAAAACTGATCACAACATCTTAAAATAAGATAGGATTCTTTTTTTTTTTTTTTAACGGGTGTCCTCATGTAAAAAGGATTCCTTTGAGGCACAAGAACAATAAATTTTAATTTTTTTTTTTACCAGAAACAAGAACATTAAATTAGACCTTGATAATGAGATAAGATATTACTTTCTCCATTAAAAAAATATAAGACATTTTTAATTGAATGTTACCCATTAATAAAATAATTACTAATCTTTAAACTAATCATATCTTTTTATATTTATCTATATTTAATAAAGTGTTTCACCTTAAAAAATATAAAGTAATCTATGTAATAGGGATACTTTTAAAAAAAGGTAATGATTATGCATTAAAAGATTTAAAATGTCTTATATTTTTTAATGAAGAGAGTATCTATTATTTAAAAGTAAAATCATGATATGAGCTAAACAAAAAATATTAATTAAATAATTAATTTTAATTATCTTAAAATTTAGGGAAAACATAACAATAGATACATGTATTTTAATTGCATTTTATTTTCGGTCTTTATGGTTTTATTGCATTATTTTCAATCCCATTAATTTGATCAAACTACAACATTAGTTCTTATAATTTTAAAAATACACGTAAAGACCATGAGATGGTATTGCCAAGGGTAATTTTATTATAACTCCGCTAACCTCTTTGCTGATATGGTAAAAATATACTGATAACATAAAAATAGATTAATTAGGTATGTTTAAAAGTAAAAGGTAAATGAGAAAATTTTTTCTTATGTGTAGAATGTGGGAGACAGGTAAGATTGTGCATGTCAAATTATGATCCTTTAGATAGATTAACAAAGTTAAATACTTTCTTCATACTTATATATAAAAAGTTTTTTTATAATTTTTTTGTCTCTAAATATAAAAGGTTATTAGTATATTTTTAATGAATGGATTATTTTACCCTTATTAAATTAAAAAGAGAAAAAGATAAATATACTCATTAATTTATTTTAAAAAAAGAGATTCATTTTTTATTTACAGTAATTAAGAACAAAATTAGAATATTGCTATGCTTTTAATTAGATAACTAACTTTTATTAATTTGTATAATTTAATTAAAAACATCTTATATATAAAAATGGAGGGAGTACATGTTAGCAAAATTATCTCCATTGATGCTGGATTATGATCCTTGTATGCTTTTTTAAAATTATAGCATCTAAAATTGAAGAATGATCAAATTAAAGGGCAACAAAATAAAATTATAGAACTAAAAAGAAAACGTAATCAAAATTCAGGAACCTATTATTATATTTTCCCTAAAATTTAAGCCATTCAGTTCTGAATTAGAATTTATGCCGGCCGGATTATAAATGCGCCTCACCTCTTCTCGGTCTTCTTTCCCTGCGACTGTGGCTTCCCTGAAACCTCAGTTGTAGCATCTCGCGTTGGGCTTGCCTGATTGCACCTATGGGGACACACCTCTTTCTTGTAACCATAGTAGCCACACTGGAAGCAAACAAGTTCCAAGCCTTCGTATTCAACAGAGAGAACTTCATTCCGACTGATAAACCTCCGTTTAAGCTTTCTCCGCAAATCGACTTCCACTGTCACTCGAGCAAATCTTCCCCTTTCAGCTCTGGACTTGTCTCCCTGACCTTGAACCGGAGTGTTCATATCCACCCTCAGTGACGTCCCAATCTTGTTCCCCAATCTCCATAGGAAGAGTCTGTTGTTATATTTTTTGGGCAAATTCGGGCCTCTTACCCAGACAATCATTTTCAGAGGAATGTCGTTAGCATCGGGAATGAAATTTGGGATCCACCGCCGCTGCACCAGATAATGTCTCATGAGGAACCAGGGACCCTCCATGAGTACCTTGTCACGGTAACTATCTTGCTCAAATCTAACGACATAATAGTAATTTGGAATATCAGAAAACTTGAACTCCGTATCATACCAAAGTTGGGTGAGGTTGTGCCTCACTTTCCTGTATCTCAGCGTCTTCTTCCCCGGCAAAGTTAGCACCAGAGCTTTTTTCCAGGGCCGGCACATCTCTCTGTACTCTTCATCTGTAAAATGTAGAACCGGACAAAAGTCCGACTCCTCAGACGCCTCGCCAGGAGCCTCCTCTTCGTCATCTAGTCTTTGATCATCGTCATCTTCCATTTCATCATCCGCAGAATCAAAACCTAGGAGAAGCAGAGCGTCCTTGTAAGATGTGAGAATCGTTGCATTAACAGAATCAAGATCGTTACTGACCGCATTTACACACAGGTCCTCCGTTTCCCTTGTGATCATCTCCTCAGACTCAATTTTTTTTTTTTTTTACTCCGTTCAAGCTGGTCGCTGGGCCGATTTCCAATTCGGAGCAATCGCCATGTATAGTAATATTATTTTTAAAAAAACTTAATTTAATCTTCGCTCCTAAAAATTTTCATTTCCCCTTGATAATCCATTTAATATTTTTCTTTCCATTGGCAGCTTTAAATTTTTAACATCGAAAAATGATGTATTCTTTTTTACTGTAGTTTCCTTTACAAATATAACTGAACTTATTTAGACTTCCTTGACCATATTTTCAAAAGTGGTTTTCCTACCAATAATTTTATTCTTTATATTAAAATAGATGTTTTATGAAGATGATTATATATTGTAAATGTTACAATAATTTTGTATTTTTTTATTGTACTCCTTCGGTTTTAATTTTAATAGAAATTATTAATATATTGATTTATTAAACATAAAATATCTTTTAAAAATAAGTATAGTTTCGTGATTTCATCCTTGGACTAATTTTTTTTTTTCAAATTTCTTTTCTTTTCTTTTTAAAGGCGCTGGTTTTTTGCCATAATTCTTGGCAAGTTCTTGGTTGCCATTTTTGTTGATGTTGTAATAAATAAAGATTCGGGGATTACTTTTTACTTTTAAATTTTTTTTATTAGAATTTCATTTTGTTCAATTTTATCTCAGGCATGAAATGAACTCTATGTTGGCTTATATAATTCATTTATTTTTATGCAATATCCAAAAAAAATGTAGTATATAATTACTAGGCAAAAGCATTTACCTGGTCAAATTAATATCAAATTGCCTAATGAATTGAAATCATCATTAATCAAACTCAAGTCATAAATTCCAAAAGTACAAAATCATCATTCATTTCCATAGCTTGTCAAGATTCTTAGGAAACCCTTTTGTTTTTTTTTTCCCCCAACTATGAGTTCAGGACCTCTACTCCATACATTGGATCCGAGGATTTTTTTTTTTTTCTTTTTCTTTTTTGCCTATTCGCAATAGCCACCTTTTTTATTTTCATTGTGTTGTGTAATTTCTTAGACGTTTATAGTGCATTCCCAGGGAAGAAAAAGATGGATTTGGTTTCGGTGCTTATCCTACGCTCATTGCCAATACATTGCCACTTGGTAGTGTAATTTTTTTTTCTTTTTTAACCACAAGTCATTATAATAATAATAAATAAATATTATAAAATTATTATTTTAATATTTAATAAATGAATAAATATTAAGATGTTAAATTAAACTTGAATAGTTTAAATAAAAATTTTAGTTTGAATAGTTCATAACTATACTGAAAAAATAAGAAAAATGATCCAAAAAGTTTAGAATAAGGATTGAGTTTAGCAAAATAAACTAGTTTCTTTCACTATAACAAATCAATGTTTGAATTTTTGTTAAGAAAAGTGCCTATATTTAATACCCGATCATGCCTTGAATGATATTACCTTTTATAGATAAACAATTGTGCAAAATTAATAAAATAAAATAAAATAATTTTTAGTTACAATTCTAATTTTTTCAATATAGTTTTGAATTGTTCTGACCAAAATTTATGTATAAACTATTCAAGTCAAAATTTAATGAGTTAAACTATTTAGGTTCAATTTTAACATCTTAATATTTATTTTTATTAAATATTAAAATAAAAAGTTTATAATATTTATTTATTATTATAATGAATTTGTAGTTAAAAAAAGCAAAAAAAAAAATTAACACTGCCAAATGGTAGTGTTTTGGTGTTGAGCACCATAGGCAAGCACCGAAATTGAGTCTGAAAAAGATAGCTTGATTTAATGAATATTTGCGTATTTTCAAAATATTTGTTTTATATTTTTTGGGGTCTTATATAAATGAGAAATCTATATATATTCATAGGCTTGTCTACTAGCAGCTCTAACATAATTTGTCTTTCAAAATGGTTTTTTAGTTTTTCATAGCTTGATTTGCTTTTAATTGATATTAAATTACAAAAATAAAGGTGTTGTATTGTATATAAAGAAACTGTTATTTGTATATTATCATGAGTTTGAATTGTTTAAAAATTAAATCATCATATTTTTTAAATGTTTATATTAAAAATAAAGAAGAATATAAAATGATGAATAGAGTTTTTTAGTTATATATTGACTTAAAAAAATATTAATGCATATTTAAAAAATAAAAATATGAATAATCCAAATTAAAACTAAATATTTAAACGATTACACCACAAAAAATATGAAAAATACAAATGATCTACACTAAGTGCTTTTTTGGTTTTTTTAAAAAATAAAAAATTGTTTAAATAAATGTTTTGGATTTAAATATTTTTAAAATTATTCTAAAAAATAAATACATCTTAAAATTTTTTTTTAATTTTTAAAACACATTTTATTTCACTCTTGTAAATTACTTTTAACTATAACCAACTATTATTATAAATCATCACCATTAAACACTAGCAAGCCACGACCAACACTATCAGCTAATTTTTTGACTCTAAAATATTTTTAAATAAACATAATCAAACATATTTCATTTGTTTGTTTGAAAAATAATTTTAAAAATTAATTTATAAAATAATTTTTGAAACAAAAACTGAGAACAAAATTAAACAAGTCCTAGGCTGCTAACCAACTAATTGATCTATGTTGCAGAATTATCATTATAATATGGTCAAATCTTGTTTTACTCGGGGCAACACTTGTCCTCTTACGCATACCATTACTTCAATAATATCAATAAAGAATTACCAATGATTGAGGTCATGGTCATAGCATAGTGTTATATATTGTCCCAGACAAACATATAATCTAGTGGTGGAGATTGCCTGGTGCTCTCTTTGACGATGGAAACAGTAACAGATGGATCAAATCTGGAGACTCAACTTCTGTGTACTCAAAATCATCACGAGGATGCAGATGATGAGGAAACAACAGAGCAAGGACGAGGTTGTTTGTGTTGGTTTACACCAGCAGATGAAGCCGTGGAAGAAGCAAAGAGACAGATATGGCTGGCAGGGCCATTGATAGGAGTGAGTCTGCTTCAATATAGCTTGCAAGTTATAGCTATCATGTTCGTTGGCCATCTTGGAAATCTTCCTCTTTCTGGTGCTTCCTTGGCCTCCTCTTTCTCCAACGTCACTGGTTTCAGTGTCTTGGTATGTTAATTCCCTGTTTTATTACTTCAATTAATTTCTGTTACATGCATACATATATATATGACCTGCAATTACATTACTGGCTAACTCTGATGGACTAACACTGAAACTCGGGGGGGAATTCAAGTCTTAGGAGGTTATTATTATGAAATCTTAGTTATTTTATTCTTCTTATGCATTTGCTAACACATGCGCACACAAATTTTTATGTTTTATGCGATTAAAGCACATGGTCTGCGGGATCAATATATCTATATAATTACATAGGAAGTCACTGTATTCACAAGTCATAAATGGTATAGTTTATTGAGTACTTTAACTGAATAAATGGTAGCAAAAAACAGACAAAGAAAAGTCTCATGATGGATAGAATTTGGCTTAATATGTAAGTATGTTGAGTGACACATGCATAAACTTATTAAGTTTTTAAGTTAATTTAAGGTGTCTCCCCTCAACTTGTATGCCTACATATCCATTTAAATCATGGTGAAATTGATGGAGATGTTATATATAAGATACAAGTTCGATGGTTTAGATGAGAAAAAGTTACAAGAATTATTTGTGATAGGTAAATACCAAATAAATTTATGGGAAAGTTTATCAAATTGCTACATAACCAGTTATATATTATATAGTAGAGAATATTGGGTTATAAAAAAACAAGAAGTGTACAAAGTTAAAGTGACAGTGACAAAGATGAGTACACTAAATTGGATGTGTAAGCATGCAAGAAAAGATAATACTTGTAATGTGACATCTATTGAAAAAATGAGGCATCCAGGAAAAAGGTAAAAAATAGTCTTGAGTCCTATGAAAAAAGTAGAAAAAGACTAAAGACAACGTTTATTAAAGTTATTGAATGACATATTTTTGTTAACAATATATCCAAATATTTAATTATTGATAGAATACAATAACATTATATGCAATCCATATATAACTAACACATCTAGTAAAATAAGACTTGTGGAGTTATAGATGTGCATATATTGTTAATACACGTACAAATATAGAATTGATTAGAAGCTTTTACTTCGAATGTGTCCCAGTTAGGGATGGGAAGTGCATTGGAGACACTATGTGGGCAAGCTTATGGGGCCAAACAGTACAACATGCTAGGAATTCACACACAAAGAGCAATGCTTGTCCTTCTTTGCTTGTCCATTCCCTTGTCACTAATCTTGTACAACACCAGCAGCATCCTCACAACGCTCGGCCAACACCGGGACATTTCTGCGGAGGCCGGAACATTTAACCGGTGGATGATTCCTAGCGTGTTTGCCTACGGTCTGCTTCAGTGCCTAAACAGGTTTCTGCAGACTCAAAACAATGTGTTTCCAATGCTTATGAGTTCTGGAGCCACAACTGTTGTGCATGTTGGGTTTTGCTGGGTTTTTGTGTTTGGATGTGGACTAGGAGGCAAAGGAGCAGCATTGGCAATGTCAGTTTCATATTGGCTTAATGTGATTCTTTTGGTGGTTTATATCAATTTGGCTCCAAGTTGTTCAAAGACTTGGCGTGGCTTATCCAAACAGGCCTTCTTTAATCTTGTCAGTTTCATCAAGCTTGCAATTCCTTCAGCTATCATGATATGGTTGGTAAATTTCTCTTATTTCTTCTTCTTAATTCAGAGTCACTAAATATTACTGTCACTTGATGAATAGATTAATCAATTAATAACTATATAGAACTCAGATTTGATTTATGAATGGGATAAGCATGTTAAACATTTTGACAGTTTTGAGTATTGGTCATTCGAGATGGTTGTTCTGCTATCAGGTCTTCTGCCAAATCCGCAACTAGAGACATCCGTATTATCAATCAGGTAATTAATAATTTTACATACTTCTCACACTTATGTCCACCTGCCAATATTCATTTATAACCTGAAAGCATACATGTTCATAAAATAAAAGAGTATATTTTTTTGGTTTTTGAAAAATACAGGTTCCTTTAATAATATGAGCCTGATACCAATAAGATGTGGCATAAATGGTAGGTTATTTTGGTCCCTTAAACATGTTGCCAAGGTTTGATTCCTGGGTCATGTGTATGGAAAAACATCTATTCGAAGAAGTCAACCTCTTAAGTAAAACCGCAGTATCCCAAGGGATTAGTCTCAGACACCCGTGCAAGAGATACCTTCCCAATACATTTATTGGGCCAAGAAGCATCGAGAGAGGGAGAAGAGTCTAGTTGGACCTTGCAATAGCAAGATGTATAGAAGAAAGCACGACAACTTTAAAGCATCATGTGTATGAGCTTTTTTTTTTTTTTCACTTATGTATGTCTTTTTCAACCCAACTCTGTCCGATATAAAACTCCTCATAGTAAATTAAGTCAACACACTTGACCTCCAATCAAATATTGGGTCTCATCCATCCTTCCAGTCTTTTTCTTTCTTTGCATTACAGCTTATCAATCACCGATATTCAGAACCCGATTATAGCATAATGCAGTGATGATTTTAAGAATTAAATTAACAAAGAGTCCACGTTTCCCCCCCCCCCCCTTTTTTTGCAGTCTCAATACTTGCTGGTTGGTGTACATGATATCCGTTGGTCTTGGAGGAGCAATAAGGTCAGGGACACGCACACACACCCGCAATTAGTGAGTGAATGGTTTGTAATTAGTGAGTGGTAGTGATGAAATATGTATGCGTATGAATGAACAGCACAAGGGTGGCAAATGAACTTGGGAGTGGAAACCCAGAAAGTGCAGTACTGGCAGTAAGAGTGATGATGACGATGGTGATATGCGAGGGCATCACAGTGGCATTTTTAACCATTTTGGTAAGAAATGTTTGGGGAAAGCTTTACAGCAACCACCCTCAGGTCATCCATTACGTTGCCTCCATGATGCCTCTTCTTGCTCTCTCTGACTTCCTTGATGGTTTCCAATGCGTCCTTTCAGGTTCTTCTTTCTCAAATCAAATTATCCATTCATCATCATGATTTAGTCCTTAACTTGATTTAATTACAGCTAAACGGAATACATTGATCAGATGACTATAGTACAAATAATACACTACCCATTTGGATAAATCTCCCCTTACCGCTAAATTTAGAGTATTTGTTAAGAAGCCAAAGTGTAAGTAGATTTTGTTTGGTATAGGTGGAAGTTTCACATCAAACAAAATTAGCAGAAGAAAAGATATACATATAAAAAAAGACTCAATGTCCTAAGATGTGATGTCACATTCATTTATAACATATGTTTTATATTAAGTTTTTGATGAACCCCTTGCTAATAATGACTCATATATATATATATATATATATAGGAGCTGCAAGAGGGTGTGGGTGGCAAAATCTGTGTGTATTTATAAACCTTGGAGCTTACTATGTTGTGGGAATTCCTTCTGCTGTCCTATTTGCATTCTTCCTTCATATTGGAGGCATGGTTGGTCTCTTTCTTCCTTTATTTTTTTAACATTTGAATTTTTAATCATTCATATTCAACTTTTTTGTTCGATTGTTAGCCTTTAGCACACCAAACTAAACATTATTTATTTGCAGGGGCTATGGATGGGAATCATTTGTGGACTCACTGTTCAGGGGATTGCACTTGTTACTGTAAATGCATGTACTGATTGGACTCAAGAGGTAAACACTAAATAATATTGAACTCTACAAAATTCAAATATTATTTGAAATCATAATTAAAAATTACGATAAATATTATTCCAAATATAACAAAAGTTTGTCACTTTGTTGCTGCAATTTATTTATTCATTTTCAATCTCTTGCAGGCAAGGAAAGCAGAAGATTTAACTCAGAAATCTAGCATAGCTGTGGAGCCGTAGGACCTTTTAAAAAATGACAAAAACAAACCAAGAGAGAGAAGAAGAAAACATGATAGATACCTCTTCCCTTTGTTTTTTTTTTTAAACTATTTTTACATTAGGAATGTATATTAATTTGATTAAGTTCATATTACATTATTTGTTTCTTCATAGCGATCCAAGTTTTTCATACCATGCTTCAAATGACTAGCCACAATCCAATGCGTTGTACAAGTTGGCTATTAATCCAAAAGACATAATGTTCGGATAATGAAACCACAATATGTGACACGCAGGTGAAGGGACTGAAGTGGAATTTAACTGAAGTTATTGTTTCCAAACAATTGTATGCATTGTACAAAAGTTGTTTAAACAAAAGAGCCATTCTTTACATTGAAAACACCTAAGCGCACACAAAAAACATTGTTCAATTTATAGAAAATCTTGTATTTGAAGCTCAGTATGTGTTTAGTTTTTCATGGACTAAAAGTTTATTTGACAAAAATTAATTTAGTAAAAATTAATTGTTATAACAAAATTTATGTTTGAATATATTTTTTAAAAAATTAATTTGTTAAATTAAAAGTTGGTTGAATTTTATATATATATATATATATATGGAAATGTTTTTTTGAATGTACAATTATTAAAAAGGACATCAATTTATGATGATTTTTAATTTTTATTATATAAATGTAATATATTAAAAATGGCTAAACATGTGATAAAATTTTAAATAACATAAAATTTGATGTATCAAATAATAAGAATAAAGAATATAAAGTTTGATATGTTGGGAAAAAAATTATACAGTAAATAGCTTAACATACATTAATCTTAAAAATTAATATGATTACTATTTTCAAAGGAGCAATGTTGCCTTTAAACTACTTATTATAATAATGTTGTCTCTAAACTAATTAAATCAAAGTAATGTTTTCCCTGCCATTTAAACATCCAGTACTATAGCTAATAGGACTCATTTTTCATGAGATAAAGTACAATTTTGCTTTAAACTATTCTCAGAGGAACAATGTTGCCTTTACCATTTAAAAATTATAAATGTCCGTTAATTATAGCTAGCATGACCCACTTTTCATTATCTCTCTTTAGTTAACATTGAATCAGGCTAGGATTTTAACTAGAATATGGCATTCCAATTGTTGAATTGATTTTTGGATAACCACTATATAATTGTCTATATAGGCTTTTTTTTTTTAATGCATATGAGAGAGTATATTTGTTTATGATAGTCAAGTATGTAGGCTAACCCACTTAAGACGATAAAAAGCAACCTTTTTAGCTTAGAAATGTTGTTTATATGCTTTTTGTTGGATTAAAAGCTCCTCTTGTAATATTGTCAGTGTGAATTTATACTTCAACTTTTATCATCTTTGTCACCGAAAAAAATTAGTATAAAGATTGAGCTTTTTCTCAATATATAGTTCATGACTCATTGGAATGTTGATGGAGAATATCATGATACAAATAAATGCTTTCACGTAAATATTGAATGTTAGAAAGGATGTGAATAGATTAGTACTAGTTTTCTCTAATTAACAAATGTTTATAATTTTTAAATGACGCGGGCAATAGTGCTCGAATTTAATTAGTTTAGAGGGGATATTGTTCCTTTAATTAGGGACAAAATTGCATCTTAATTCATGAAAAATAGGTCCCACTAGCTACAGTTAATGGACATTCAAATAGCAGGGGTAGCATTGCTCTAATTTAATTAGTTTAGAGGGACAATATTATTACAATGGAACAACATTGCTCCTCTAAAAAATAATTTAGTGGTAAAATTATACCTTAACCCTTTATAATATACAATATAGTTTTTAATTGAATCACAAACTTTATTCATCTCTATACCAAAAATCACATTTGAAACTACACATAGAAATGCACGATAGGTACTGTCATTATAAGAGTTAATTATATTTTCATTTTTGAAAATGCATAAAATCATAATCAATTGAAAATTTTCTTCTAATAAAATTATATATGATTATTGTTGCACTTACTGAATGAATTTGTGGGCGCTTTAAATATTGACATTAAAGTATTAATATATCCCTCAACTTTTTAAATATGTGCAACGCACCCACAAGTCAAGGGTGGTGAAATGTTGCCCTTCATGTATTAAAAATGAAGCAATGTTGTCCCCTTTACTATTTATTAATTTGACCATTAGTTTATTAAAAAAATTACAGAGGATGACCAAGAAAATTAAAAAAATCCAAAAATTACAGAAAAAGAACTTAGAAGAAAATTAATATAGATCAATTATCCTAAATTTCAAATAAAATTCGATAGACTCTGTCCGCAGCCGCATGTGGAGACTGGGTTGGGTGGAACTGTTTTGTTTGCGATATTGATACCTTACTCCTGTATACAACATGCTGAAAATTCATTTTATATCAATTCACGATTCAATCTCATGCACAAAAACACCCACAAGACGAAAATTCATTTGATATCAATTCATCCAATCTCTTTTTTTTTGGCAGAATTTACGCCAATGTAATATTCAAGGTTCTATGTCTAAATCTTCTATATAGCATTGTAAGAGGCTGATAATGTTACAAAAGAATCGCCATCACGGCAGCATTTTGCTGGGCAGCATCCAAAATTGTTGCAGTAAGTATTAAAAATTAAAACCTTTGCCTATACGTTGGATAATGAGAGGCTCTTGCCTTCACCTTGTAAAAAATATCATTGGAAGGACAAGAAAAGAAGAATGTATTCACCTTGGTTCTATCAAAATTGTGGAGGAAATAATGAACCTATTCCCTCCCGATGTTGTCCAGTGCTTTGTATCAGAAATGCTCTTACATTTCTACAGATGATAAATGGCTCAGCCAGTATCACAGCCATAGAAGTAGCTACATGCATGTCAAATACTGTTTTGCCCCTGATGTTTACTCAATGCTGAAATACAGAAAAGCATCAACTTGATCACCCAACTGTAGAGTGAGAGCCTATAAAGCAGGCTCAAAATTGTTAAAGCTTGAACCATTTCCCAGCTGATCCAGTGCAAGAATTTAATATGCTTCCCTTAACCATGGAGCAATCATTTACATGATTTTTTTCCTTTAAACCTTGTAGACAAGGAGGATTCTTTTGTCTCCTACTTCACCAAGCATTTGTAACCATAAACCGTTGAAGTTCTTGTGAAAACTCTGCTGAAACCAATCCATAATTTCTGTATAAAATTCCCTAGGATTCTCCTCCCATACTATTCTTAACATAGCAGAGCCATCAACCAACCTACTCTTTAACTTGCTCAAGAGATTTACCACCCTTTTCTGACAAAATGCTTCCCTCTTCAAAATGCTTTCAGGCGGGGCCGCCATATATCTTCATACAGATTTTAAACATGGACAGACCTGACCGACAAGCAAAGTGTAGGCAAACACTTGCATCCTAAGATCATTATTACTAATTGGCAACTGACACTTTGGAAGCTTCCAACAGAAACGCCCAAAGGTTGGATTGACCCAACATTTCACTTGGTCAGTCCGGATATCATAGAAAGGCCTGGGATCCATTAGGGGTGCAGAGAATTCACATGAAGACTTGGCATGCTCAACAAGCCAAGCTGGCTCCACACATGTTACTCCATGCATGTATGGTCTCTTTGCATATAATAATTCATTATAAACCAAGAACTCAGGGGCTGCAATAGAAACTGATGACCAACGATGAAGGAAAACACTATCTTCATGCATGCATGCTTGATACCTAATAGCAGGAACCCTTGTGCTGCAATCCGAGGTCCCAGAAGACCCTTTGATACGTTTGGCAACCCTGTCTACCCAACCAGCACAGATTGCTTCACAGATGATCCGTTCCTCATCCAGCAAAAGAGGATATTTTTCACAAGATACCTGCCAGGCATGTTCTGTGTCCTCCAAGGTTCCATGAATCCATGAGTACTCATGTTCAAAACCACAAACAGCACTCTGATAGAAGACAAGTTTAAGTAGCTGTTGCCTGAGCTTGGACATCTCCTCCATGGTTTTGAGGTGCAATGCATTTTCATCACAAAATTCTATAGGCTTCTGTGAATATTCAAAACAGTGCAAAGCATAAGCTATTGTCAGGGCATCGCTAGACATAACATGGAATTTTTCACGAGAAACTTTCGCATTTTCTTTTAGTTTCTTTCTCCTTAATTGTTCTTCCTTGCCAGTGACTTCCTCACTGTCCACCGTGCTAGATTTCTTGTGCATCTTTGAGTCTCCTTTACCATCATTTTCTTCAAAGTGCATTGTGAAAGGATTTGATAGGCTCAATGCTGCAGCAGCTGCAACTGCATATGCCAAAAGTAGTTCTGGTCGTTTGCATTTATACTTGCTCCTTGTCAATCTAATAACAGTAAGGAGCATTTTGGAGTGACGAGGAGTCAAGGGATAAAGTGCCATGACTTTCCCCAACGATGTGAGTTCATGCTTGTCAACATCAAGTGCTTCAAGAGCAATTAAGCAATTCTGTGCTTCATCCAGTGCAGCATCACTAGGAGGAGTAGGAAATGGAAACTTTCTAACCTGGATAAGAAGTAACAAATCCCAAAAAAAAAAAAAATCACACAAAAGGATCTCAAATTAAGATACATAAAACATAGTTGACAGCAAAACGAATGCATCGCATATACATTTGTTAATTCCTTGAATCAAATACGATCTTATTTTTAATTTATGTACTGGAGACCCTTTACATGAAAAACATTTAATCTTTCATTCAGTCCTATATATGGAATCAAGTTATTGCGATGGTAATGGAAAAGGACATAAAAATCAAGAATTATTCTCATCACACTCAAGAATCTTGATGATGATCATCTCAACCCAATTTTAATTACCAAGGACCATTTCAGTTGATTGCAACTAAATAGGTGCTACAAACAAGACCAAATCATACATTATCCAATATATATGTGTGCATTATTGGTGATACAGAAACATACAACAAATGATAGCACCCAATATAGACAAGCAGATGGACTTGAACAAACTTATAGAGAGAAGAAAGCACATCTTAAACTTACCTCCTTATCCTTAAAAAGCATAGATTTTAACAAAAGAACCACACCATGAATAGGTACTTTAGAAACTTCAGCAAGAGAGAAGTCAGGGAGTATATTGTTAAAGACTGCAGAAGAATAAAGACGGTAACAATGGCCAGGTCCAGTTCTTCCAGCTCTTCCAGCACGCTGAGCAGCAGATGCCTTGCTTATCCATTGCACTTCATATGTTTCCATGCCATTAAAGGAGTTGTAATTCTTCACTTTTTCCCTTCCAGTATCCACCACATACTTTATCCCTGGGATTATTAAAGAGGTTTCAGCAACATTTGTGGAAACTACAACAAGACGCTCTCCCCTGTTGATTTCTTCAAAGATGCGAAGTTGAGCAGCTGCAGGAAGCATAGCATAAAGTGGTAAAACAAAAAGTGAAACTGGAGAATCCTCTCTAGCCCTCTTCTCCTTGTAAATTTTTGATTGATCTAAAGCCCCTTCCTTTTTCACGAAAAGAGTCTGCTCCCCACCAGAATGGGAGCTTGATGGTGCTTTACCTGACAATGCTTCAAAGGCTGCCTTTAATGGAGCAAGGTTCCCTTGCTCTCCTAAGACATTCACAAAATCATCATTTTTCTCTGAATGTTCAAAATTATCATCTACATCAAATTCCAAATCACTCTCAGTTTCCAAATTAGATGAAAAATCTGATTTATCCCCACATGCATCTTGCTCATCTTCATCATAAGCACTAAACCTATCAGTTTGTTGGGTGGCTGAACTCCCTTGGATCTCATATACTTCATTTATCTCCTTGTTATCTATTCCCTCAGCAGAATTTGTTCCAGGTACTGCAGTGCCATGATTTTCTACAGATGCATTCAAGATCAACTCCCTTGAAGCATTGCGTAGCTTCCTGCACAAGTACTCTACTTCCCTTTGCCCAGTGACAAAGACAAGTATACCACCAGGTGGAAGTCTCTTGTGAATTGCCAAGACATTTTTATATGCTTGCCCAATATAATCAACAATCTCTGTCTTCTTTGAAAAGTGTAATGTTACAGGAAATTGTCTTGTAGGAATTTCTATAACAGGGGGTGGTGTAAGGAATAACCTTTTAGAAGTAAAGTCTTCAACTCTCAAAGTGGAACTCATCAGCACAAGCTTTAACGGAAAAATCATATCATTAGGATCTATGCTTTCTCCTGAAAGCATCCTCTTTTGCTGTTCCATGTATTCCTACAATGTAGCAAGATCATCATATATAGAGCAAGAAGATAGAAGAGCAACCACAAGCATTCATTTGTAAGCATTTGTAAAGGAAGAATTATCATATCCACCTTTTGTCGACACCCAATAACACCTGACAGCATCCCAATCAAAATATATGTGTTCAAGCTCCTCTCATGAACCTCGTCAAGCACTATGACAGAGTAACGCCTCAACAAAAGATCATTCTATGGCAGAAAATTTTTTCCATTACACTACATATGATTAAGTTGCATCATAGCATGATAAAATCATAATGCATCATGGATCACCATCACAACAATGATAAGCAGACCAACAACAACCAATGAAGTCACCAAAGAACCTGTCCAGGCCATGAGATATGCTTAGATGGGTTTTTTGCCAATAAAAAAATATTTCGTTTACATGCAGTGTAAATCAACCAAAGACAAAAAAGATAGTAGTAATTAATAGTAACCATGGCAAGTGGTAACTTTAACAACCACCATAATATGCCAATATGAATCATGAGAAGTTAAAACCTATGAATGATAAAGGTCTCCATTCTAAAGTGCCATGACACACTTCATGATGATAATATGATCATGCTCACATAGTGATACTATCAAGTCATTTCTTCACTTGGGAGGATGTATTATGAAGTTTCCCAATGCCAAGAAGTATTAACTAACACCTAATGACTCTCAAAATTAATAAATGTTTCTATGAACTTACCATCACATTTTCCCCAAAAACTGTGAAGGTATTATAATTTCACAGGACAATAGTGAATCATAAGTAGTATATAAAACTAAAGCAAATAAGTTGCTGACAAAATTACTTCACAGCATGCATATCAAATATAGTAATGAAAAAAATTGAGCATACAGAAGGAATTATTAGGTAAAATAGAACCTGAACTTCCTGCAGTAAAATTCCATCAGTCATAAACTTGACAGAACAATTATCACTGATTTTCTTGTCATATCTAACTTGAAAGCCAACCTCCTTTCCGAGATGAAGACCAAGCTCATATGCCACACGCTTTGATGTTGCAAGAACAGCAACTCGGCGTGGTTGAGTAACACCAATAATACCACTGTGAACTCTGGACTTGCTTGAACCATAACCAGCTTCATAAAGAAACTGACATCATAAAAGAAAACCAAAAATACAACATATTGTGATTATGATGTTCTCCCAAAGATTAAGTTTCAAATCCTAGAAGATATCACCATCATATAACATCAAAAGGTACTCACTTGAGGAACTTGAGTTGTTTTACCACATCCAGTTTCTCCGCATATGATAACACAAGAATGATATCTTATGGCTTCCATAATCTCTTGCTCCATCATGACTATTGGGAGATCCTTTCTTTTGTCTTGAACCTCAACTGGTCTATGTACATGCACAACAGTAGGGGTAGTTGCAGCAGAGGAATCACTAAGGTTGCTCAGTTCACTGAGATTGGTTCTAGAGACCTCACATGTCATGTCCTATCCCATGTCCCAAATACACCATTAAATTAACTTGCAGATAGTCAAGCAGGCCATTTCCCTTATATGGGAAACACTTAAACTAAATTGTAAACTTATTGGTGTACTTTTGTGCAAAGTCATACCCACATAAAAAGATCAGTATCAGTGGATAATTAATGCATATATGTGATAATTTCTTCCAACAAACAATAATTCAACTGCCTATGCTGATAGATAATGCAGTTTATGAATGGATCAATGTGCAATACAATAGATATTATTAAGATAGCCATCTATTCACCCAAATGCTCTATCTACACACATCAACAATGAGCATACATCATACCTTGAACTCCGCTCTTATACTCCCATCAACAAGTTTGGCTCTATCAGGACAATGAGTTATATTATCGAGCAATAGTGAAGTAGCTTTCTCATTAACGGAGACATCACCAAGAGACACAGCAAGAGGTCCATTATTTTTGACATGTTTATCACCAAAAGCAGGTTCCTGAGAGGACCCCAAAGGAGCACAAGGTTCACATAAGAGTTCTCTGTCAAATCCAGCTGGTTGGATTTTATCATTTTCTTCAGTTTCCAGTGGCATACGAATTTCTTCTGTCTCATGTTCAATTCTTTGTGGAACATCCAGAAAACTGGACAGATCATGGCTAAGCACAGCCTCCAACCCTTCTTTCAATAAGTGCACAGCTCTCCTTCGTCTCTCTAGCACAGTTTCAGTCTACATAGCACAATAATATTAAGTATATAATGAGCCCAAATACTTTTTGCCCATATTTTCACCGTTTTGGGAATAAAATCATCATTGTTATCATACCAACCTGATTCACATTCCGTGCAGACTGCAAAAGAGAATACGCATACTCTGGAATCTTGAATTTGCTGCAATAAATAAGAAGGTTCCGGAGTGTATCATTAAGTCAAAGGCATAAAAGACAACATCCTTCTTTTTTTCCCCTCCAACAAATTGTAATTCTGCTTCTTTCAAGTAAAATCTCATCATTTATTAAAAAAAAAAAATAAAAACAAAAAAAAGGCTAACATACTTTAATGTCTCAATGCTTCTCTTCAGTAGCAGTTCTTTCTCCTTCTCATCCTTCAAAAGTGAAGCAAACCAAGTTACATCCAAAGCAGAAGAGAAAAAATAGCGTTTCAATTTTTTTTTTTAATACACAAACCTCTAACTTCTTCAGCTTCCTTTTCTGAGATTTGCTCAACTTTTGTTTCTTGCTTGAATTGATTTCTACACATACCTATATACAAGAAATTTTCAAGGAAAAAAAAATCCGCTTTTACCTAGGATAAAAATATGAAGCAAAATGCATACATAATCCTGTCATTATCAATACCTGATTCATGCCTTTCCTTTTCTTCCCTGTCTTAGCCAGCAATAATAATGCATTACTATCATCATTGCCAGCTCCCAAACTGCCAAAATATAAGAGAGTTAAAAGGTTTAACCTAAAAAAAGGTTAATTCTTGACAGTGCACTGATTTTGCCTGGTCTCTTTTATGATAGAAAAAATAATTTACAAGAGAGAAGAGAATAGCAATACATAAAATGAGGATAAGCCCCCTCAAATCAAAGGGGAGAAAACAATAGGAGAATTTCACCCACCTTGGAGATCCATTCCGAGAATTGAACTCAATATTGCCTACGATATTTTCAGCAAGAACTTTCATCATGCTCTAGCTGGAAAATACAAGCCAGTTTTGGGATACTACTCTGCTCACAGCTGCAGACAGGAAAACTGAACCTTACGACTGAAGCTGCAACTTGAAAGTTAACTATGATCAAGGTTCTTAATCAATGAGGTACAACTAAATAACTGAAGAGGCAGAGAAGCACAAATCCAAGGTCACTACTGGTTGCTCTATTTTAGTGTGACAAAGATTGGGAGAACACTCACTGGTTGGTGCAGTCAATGGACACTCAGCTGAGAAGGGTTTAGAATCAAATGACTACAAGAGGACGTAATGTTTTAAAAACAGGATCAAACGTTGAACTAGAAAGGTCAGCAAGTAACGGTTCCCATGGTTCAATTAGTTAGATTGATAGTTGAACCAAGGGTGTAATAATTAAATAATAAATAATATTAAATGCATATCATATATATGAGAAATAAAACATTAATTTGTCAAAAAAACCACACAATATGTCAACTTAACAATACAGTAGCACCACAAATCTACAATATGCTTAATTGTCAATAGAATAACACCACAATATATAAAATTGTCAATAAAATAACACCAAATCACCACAAGTACACAACATTACAAGTTATCATTTTAAGTTATAAAACCTGTACATTTGTACCCTTTGCTGATGTTGATGTCAATCATTCTCATCTAAATTTTTTTCCCCCAGCATCCTTCCTTTCATATATTAAGGATTTAATTAATCAACAAGTTTGGAAGTTATAGAAATCGCCGATCTGATTTATTATTATAAGCCCATTCACAAGAGGATAGTACATACAGTGCCCAGGTACGGTATGTATCATGCACAAAGAGTTCTACTTCGAGTTGAAGAGGGTTTGCAGAGATTCTGATTCTCAAAGGTTAATTTATATATAATACATGGATTCAAATTCAATAACGCTTTTTTTCCATTGATCCATTCACTTAGGTACAGAGCACAACATACTTTGCAATCTGAACATACTTTTGAATGGGTAGAAGCTAGGCACAGGGGCAAAGAGATTTCAATGGGTAGAATCTAATCAGAGAATTTCAATGGTAGGAGTTAATCACAGAGGCAAAGAGATTTCAATGGGTAGAATTTAATGTTGATCTTTTTTTTTTGGTTCATTTTGTTGCATTATTTTTAAATTATTATAAGACAAAAACAAAGCCCAAAAATTTTAAAAAATCTGGTCTTTAAGAATATAGGATACAACACTCTTACACTCTATTTGGCTCAAGGGGAGGGACCTTGTTTGGTTTAGGAGGGGAGGGGAGGGAAATAATTACATACAGACAACTATGCCCTTACCTTATTAAAATTATTTTTTCCTTACTTTTTTTAAATATTAAATAAAATATACCTGTGTGTTTTAAAAAGATAAGGATAAAATAGAATGTGAGAGCTAAATTATAATCATAATATATAAATAAAATGATAATTATACCGTTAATATATTAATAATCAATTAGAAGCTGTAAGACTAGAAAGCAGACATACTTTATTAAGATAGTCCATTATCACACCTAGATAATATGGCCTCACATGATTAATGCAAATAAATAGGAACCATCTGAACTCCAATTGAAAACTTTGATTTTCTTGAAATTTGATGCCATTATAGCTTACAAAGACGGCAAGAAGAGAAATTGAAAAGAAAGAACATGAAAAATCCATAATGACGATTATTAGAGCTAGACCATACGCAAACAAATAACATCGTGGAGAAACCAAAAGAAAAACTGCTATTAGAAAATAACAAGATCCTATATCTCATATGACTCAACTGAAATTGTCGGAAATAAGAGAACCCGTTAGCCAAACTTGATGCCAATGCTATATAAGGTAAGTTAGATATATAATGTAAGAAAAAGAAAAATGAGTTTTAGTCATCCTATATGTTGCCTAGCAGAAACAATAACTTTAAACAGTTAAAAGGCAAATGCAAGTTTCTTCCTTGTCGATCATTATCCTTAATAGCTTGAACATCAATTGAATACAGAATAGTTCATCTCGTTTGTACCTACAATAATTTGCGTTAAGCATTAAGGATATGTTTCAGCAAGAACAGAGAACACGAGCACCGATATATATATATATCTCCAAACATCATTTGAGCGAAAAACGCATAATAGATATAAAGCAGAACATCTAAGCAAACTGGGGGAAAGTGAACATGAATCTTTGATCAGAAATCCATGCAACGGAGCAATACAAACGACAACAATCAAAAAAGGAAATCATACAACTATTCAACGCAACAACAGTAGAGGGGAATACAGAAGAGAGGGTCTCGCCACCAAAAAAAACAGAGCAGAGGGGGGCGACACGAAACCTGAAGGAAAACGGCGACTGAGACGGCGACAGCGACATGGGTTGCGACGGCAAGGGACACTGCTGCAGGCCACGGATAGGACTGGCGCGAGAGCAACGGTAGGGCCCGAGGAGGAAGAAGATGAAGTGATTGGGCTGTACTGCTTTGCTGGAAAAAAATATAAAATATTTTTAATTCGTCTTTTAATAAAATAATTATTTATTTTTATATTTATTTTTATTTAATAATATATTTTATTATAAAATAAATATAAAATAATTTATTTAATAGGAATACTTAAAAAATAATAATTATATTTTAAAAAAATTAAAAATATTTTATATTTTTTAATATTTAATCTCTCCAATAATGTTTAATTTTTAATGAAAGGATTATTAAGAAGGAAAACTTTTGAATTATCAAAAAATAAGGTGGACAAATTAATCTCCATACAGTAAAATTATTGAATAGTGCTGAAAAAACAAAAAACGTATTGATAGTAGTAAAAATATAATTAATGAAAAAAATTATATTTTGCTTGAGATTTTGTGTTGTAAAAACTATATGCCCATATCATTGAATTGATAAGATAAAAATAAAATCAAAGAGGAACTCCTAATTTAATCATTTACAATATGTAGGAGTTGCAATTCTCTAAAATCTTGCGACCAAAAGTACTAGAATATAATTCTATTACAATGACCATGAAATTGCTTCAATTTTTTTAAATTTATTTTGTGGACCTTACTATTTTTATTTTTTTTTGTCTACATGGGACAAGGGAGGTCTTTTTAATTTGGAAAAAAAAAGATAATTTAGTCTTTTCTTATTTTAAATACATATATTTATTAAAATTTAATTAGGATTTTATTTTCATACCAAACACATTTTTAAAATATAATTCTATTTTAATTTTGATTTTAATTCCATAAAAAACTCTTCTATCATACCAACAAAGCTCAGTTGATTTAAATATTCTAAATTGTAAAACTTATTATTAGGTTTTATATATATTCTAATTCCCTAGTTTGAGTTGGCCAAAAAAAAAATAGAATTTTTTAGTTAGAGGGGAGAGGAGGGATCCTTATTTAGATATTGAAAAGTCCCACCCCTTCAAAATGGGTATAGAGTGCATATGAACTAGGTCAAACCAAGTTTCACCCTATCCCAATGCTTAATCTTATGCACCTATTCGGACGTTTGCTCGCCTGAAGGTTCTGGTTGAGTTGGCCTAATGCTCAAAATTTGTTTTAAAAATAATTTCAAAACTTAAAATAAATTTATTAACTAATAAAAATATAATTATAATTATTTAAAATGGATTTTTTTTGTAAAAATAATATTAGGATTGAAAGTAATAAGTTTTAAAATTGTATGTAATTAACCATTATTCATTATTTTTACACAATATAAAGTAAAAAAATCAATTTTAAATATTTAAAAAGATTAGAAAAATTAAAATAATAAAAAATAAACATGAAAACAATATAATACAAAAAAAATTTAGTAAAATAATACTATAAAATAAGAAAAATTTCAAAAAATATATATTTCCTCTATTAAAAAATATAAAGCATTTTTAATCAAATATCACCCATAATAAAATGGTTATTTGTCTTCAAACTAATCATTTCTTTTTATATTTATCCCTATTTAATAAGATATTTTATTTTAAAATAAATATAAAATAATTTATTTAATAAGGACACTCTTAAAAAAAAGATAATGATTATACATCAAAAGACTACAAATATTTTCTACTTTTGAACACCTTATCTCTCAAAAAATATTTTATATTTTTTAACTGAGGGAGTAAAAATATTTTTAAGTCAGGCAAGATAAAGCTATCTCCAAACTCGACTCTGCTAATCCAATTGGCTTGGACAAGATCGAGTTGAGCCTGCAAATCCTTACTTGCTAATTACTAATGGTATAGTATCTATATATTTTCCTAGTATAAATTGACAACTTTTTAAAGATTTTTATGCCAAAAAAAACTACATACCTATTATTGATAGTTCAGTAAATATAATATTTTTTTATTATATTTAAAACTTATTTGCCAGTCATGAAATTATTGGATATTTCAAATATTTTAAAAGGAAATTTTATTTTAATTAATAATATTAATTATCATTTAAATCTATTTATTTTGTAATTTTTAATTTAAATTCCATTATTATTTAAAACCTTTTTTAATTGTATTAATTAGTGATAATTGACCAATATTCATGAGTTTTTTTGGCTGCAAATCACATAATAGGAGTGACCATATCAAGAGTTTGGGCATTCTCTTCTCCTTCTCTCCTTGTGTTTCTCCTAATTTATTTTGTTATTTTTGCTATTATGTTATCTTATTTGTTTTACAGAAGGGTTTCACTTAATTTTAAAAAATTCTGATAATTGTGTCGAAATTATTCTTAAAAATAGTGTCTTTGCATATAATTTGAAACATATTTTCTACATGACATGCGAAACCAAAAGCAAATAGCAAAAGATATTAAGAAATGGGAAAATGATAATAAAAGGCCATTGAAATATGATATTTGAGTGGCACGAAATGTAAAAATTATTTGCTAATCCCAAAAAGACTTACTCCTTCGATCCCGTACAAGATGTCTTTAATCAAATGTTGCATAGTAATAAAGATTTATTATTTAATTAAACTCATATTAAAAATATAATATTTTTTTAATTTATTTTTAATAATATTATAATTAATATAGTAAAAAAAATATATAATTAATAATTTATTTTATTTTTTAAAATAAAAATAAAATTATTTAATTAATCAAAAATATCATAGTCATTCTTTATATTTAGAGATAAAATAAATTTTTAAAAAATATTTTATATATAGGATCGAACAGAGGATGTAACATTATAATTTTTTTGTAAAATGACATATTTACCCATTTCGACGTTGCATGGAATCTCCTCCCCAGATTAGACAAAACAAAATGCAGAGAGAGGGTGCCGCCATTGTTCTCAATAAGATCGGAGCCGTCAAGGCGTCAAATGAGTAGCTTATTCTGAAAATGGATCCCGTCTTCCTTTCTTGCTTTTCTTCTTGGCTCCATGGTTACAGTGGTGGTTGGACTTGTCTTCTATGACCTTCGCTTTCACGCTGCGATTTCCCATACTGATTTCGAACTTCAAAGCATGGAATCACCCCCACCTAATTTCCAGATCAAATAGGCTTTTTAGGTTTCGTGTGGAGTAGATGGGGTTGGAGCTGCCGCCGATAGGTCCTCTAGCGGAGAGATGAGAAGGGAGGGAAGGAGGGAGAGAAAATGCAAGGTCAAATATGCTATATAGAATTATTAAAAAAATAATTTACTCCCAAAAGAAGAGATGGAGGACAAGTCCTCCAGCATTGGAGGCTGTGTTAATGGAAGTTGTGGATTTGTTGACAGATTTGGACCACGTGAAGCTTTTATGGGTTGCAATACGTTTGTTCTCTTCACTGGTCTGTTTGATTCATTAATGCATTATGCATGGGTGTCTTGGGTTTTGTTATGTGTGTTTTTCGAATGCAGGATTCCGCATAAATGGTGGTGCCAGAAACAAGCAGCAACACTGCGAGGAATAGAGCCTCGGTGTAATTCACCAGTCGGAGCTGCATTTTGGAAGGGAAGACTATTGGTGCTGGCGATCTTTTCTTTCGGGGGAAAAATATCTTTTAGGGGATAAAATAATCTTTTTATATTAAAATTGATTAACAAACAATTCCCTAAAAAATCAAAAATAATTATCACATTTTACTGTATTTAATTGTCATTTGAGTATTTTAAAGGTATTTTTCTGCCATTCTCTCATAATATGATTTTTCTAAAAAATATTTAAAACCTATTTTCTCATGAAATCAAATCTTATATTTTAAAAGGAAATAATAGCTTGATATTATTATTATTTGATAAAATAGCTTGATATTATTTTAAAAGACTAAAGAAAAATTACATACAGATTCCACACAATAAAATTAATTATTGTGGGGTCCATGAACAATTGACATAGGCCATTGACGACACATCAATAGCCTTATATTAGTTATCAATGAACCTTGTAATAATTAATTTTATTATGTAATACTTCAATGTAATTCTCTCAAAAACAAACGTCACAATCTCAAATTAAAATTTTTTATTTAAAAAACACTTTTAAGTTTTGATTTTGAAGTATGGACTTAAAAACTAGAAATATCAAATGAGTATTGAAAATAAAAAATAAAAATAATGTTCTTGTAAAATCTTCTTTATCTAATCACAATTGACTAACAAATCCATGGTAATCCAAGGACTAATCCAACATAGATTACTGAGTTTGTAATTTTGCAACAATGAGATTCCAAGTTTTCATAATTTAAAATAAGTCAAAATCATTTATTAAACTTATAATCAATGAAAAATGATATTTAAGAAGTATAAAATACCTCAAAAGAGTGGAATGATTCAAAAATAGTTGAAAACCTTCATTATTCTAAAAATAGAGCAATGGATCGTGGCTTGTCACTCTCTGTACCACATGACACAGTGTGTTGCACGATATCAGACAACACAATCGCTATCATTTGATAGCAGTTTTTGACAACTTTTGGTATATCTCATTTCTTCATCTGACGTCTAAATGAGATGATTAAAGTATCTACAAAAAGCTTTTTTCATAAATTAGTTAATAGCATGAGTTTTACTTTCAAATTAAGTCACACAAAAAAGTTGGACACCTAAACACATTTTCACAACTTTTCTCACTTTTCACAATAAAAAGGGTGTCCAAAATCTCACATGAGTGCTAAAAGTCTTTTCTATCACTCAAATCATATTCATTAGACCTAGAATTAACAGTACAATACACCACATGCACATATACACCACTATAGCACATTTTCACTCCTCAACCCCTTTAATGTCAAAAACAGAAAGGGAAGGTTTTAGCTTTGTATTTCATCAAAAATCATACATATCATGTTTAAAACAACTTTACTACACTTCCACTATTATTTTGGCCTTATCAACATTTACAATTTATCATAATCAACATCGTAAGGCCTAAAATACATTCTAAATATCAAAAACAAGAATATGGTGAACTGTAAATAAAATGTATTCTAATTGGTAATATTTAAATTATTACACAAAATAATGAAT